CCCCCGCGCGCGCGGCGCTGAGGCGGCCCCGGCCCGGCCGCGGAGCCCCCGCGACCCCCGGCCATGGAGGGCATGGACGTGGACCTGGACGCGGAGCTCATGCAGAAGTTCAGCTGCCTCGGCACCACCGACAAGGACGTGCTGATCGGCGAGTTCCAGCGCCTGCTCGGCTTCCAGCTCAGCCCCGCCGGCTGCGCCTTCTTCCTCGACATGACCAACTGGTGCGGGCCCGGGGCCGGCCCCCCACCCCACCTCCGGGCCGGTCGCCCCAGGGCCCCGGCGGGGCGGAGGGGAACGGGCGGTGTTTGTGCTGGGCCCTCTGTGCCCTGCCCGGGCCGGGCGGGCGGCGCGGGGCCGGAGGCGGCTCCCATGGCGCTGGGGCAGCGGGACGGGGCCGGGGCGGACGGGGCTGACTCTCGGCCCCGGCCCGGGCTGCGGGTTTGCCGGTTCGCCGGTCCAAGGGCCGCGGAGCTGTTGGGGTGGCGAACGCCGGGCGTGTGAGCCTGCGTTCGGGGACGGGCTGTGGCGGCCCGGCTTCGAGGCAGCTTCGGAGGAAGGGAAATTGTGGCAGAAAGGCGCTGTAGGACCCTGGAAGCGGCCGCGGTGCACGTGGGAGAGTTCCCGGGGTGTTTGGGGAAAACAGCGTCTGCCTGTGGACTGAGGGTCTCTCAAAATCTTCTGACTCTCGGGTGTGTGTTTGTCTTGATAAAGGCCGTGTGTCACTGCCCAAGGAAAAAGCAGGCACGGGTTATCAGCGAAGCTGTACCTCGAGAAAAACAGGGGAAATACTCAGTACGAGGGTGAAAAACAGCAGCTAGGAGTGTTCTGGTGCAGTGAGCCCAGGAACTGTAAAAAGGATGCTGTGGAGCAGCTGCTCTGTGAGTCGTGGGGTTTGGCTGGTTCTGAGCCCTTGCACCTCTCCAAAGTGTGTTGACCTAAAAACTCTGCAGGGTGGGGGCTGCAGGAAAGCAAACGAGTGCTGTGCTGTGTGTTTCAGACACGGTGAACAGAGAGATCACTTAACTAAGCTCTGCTTAGAGGTAGAACATCAAACCCAGAAACCTCAGCTTTGAAAACTGAAATACAGGGGGAGGTCAGGCTATCAACAGTTGGGAGAAAACTCGTGTGGAATTGTTGAGTTTATAAACAGTGGGAAGACAACTGTGTTGGTTGGTTTTCCTTCCTCCTACAGCTCTGTATCGAATTTTAGTGGCAAATAAGCATCTGCAGAAGAAGTAGGGGAATAGCAAGTAATTCCTTGTGTTTTGTAAGCTGACACAGTGTGAAAGAAGGTCTCGAGGGGTTCGGGAGTTTGCTCTGAAGAAACGGTTGGCTGCCAGCAGAAGATGCTTTCCCACCTCATCCATGTGTTGGTGATATGACTAAAATGACACTGCACTGTAATCCTGGGGGTTCTGTGAGGTTTCTGGGGAGAGCAGGGAACAGAGTTCCCTGAAAGTTACTCCTGAAGGTTCTCTGTGTAGCCAGAGTGTTCCTGGTTTGTGCTGGAGCAGCTCTTTTTCATTCAGGAATATTGAATTCTTGGTTGAAATAACAGCATTTCAAATCCAGCCTCAGAACTGACTGAAGTGGTTGAAATAGCCTTAATTTCCCAACTTCAGTAGTTTGCTTCTGAAAACATCGGTTTTGACATTTTTTTATGAAGTTTGGTGAGCCTCGTGGCTGGATGGGCACGTGCCTGTTGGGGTGGTGAGATGTGTGTGCAAACAAACACGGGCTGGGGCTGCTCTGGGGGCTCAGGGCCCGAGTGAGTGCCCTGGCAGGGGCTGCTCCTTCTCCCCCAGCTTGTTCCTTGTGCTGCTGTGTCCTGCTGCCAGCTGTGCCCCGTGCCTGTCCCACTGCCCAGCTCCCACCCCTTCCTGGATGGCCACGGGGTCGTTGGCCCTGCTGGGCTGACCCTGCACTGACCCTGCTGTCCCTCAGCAGGGACAATCAGGACGCGTGTTGCTGTTCTGGAAGCGCCTTTCCCCTGTCATTGAGGGGCCCTGTGCAATCCACACTGCCCAGGTGATTCAGGTGCCCTACCAGGTTTGCCTTGTTTGGCCCGGGATTAGGGTCAGAACCTTGTGGCACCAGCACATCCTGCAAATAATTTGTCTTGATGAGACTATCAGATCACTTTTCCAAGTGTTAAAGGCATGGCACGTTCTCTCAGGGATCATCCCTTCCTTCTGCATCGGGATTGATGTTCACCTGCAGGAAATGGTGGCAGAGCTCATGGTGGGGTGACAGAAATGCACGTGTTGGGTATTCCAGGTTCTCTGTAGCAATGTCCCATGCGTGAGTTAATTAACAAAGACATAAATAGTCTCACTAGAACTTGATCCCAGGTGTGGAAGGTGCTCTTTGCAATAACTGTCATCTCCAGACCCACAGTTCCTTCCCCACTTTGTGTCTTTCACGTACTGTAGGGAACACTCAGAGCTTAATGTGCTTTGAAAGACCATTTCCAACAGCAGCATTAGTAATTGTGGTCAGAGGACTTACAGTGAATTAGCAGTACTGCTGAAATAAAGGAATTATTTTTAAATAGTTTGTTTGGCCAATCTAGGGGGAAAAATTAGTGGCTGACTGGGGAGGAATACCTGTAAGTAGCCTCTAAAAGTCTGTGTTCACTTCTCCAGTTCCCAGGAATGCTCAGTGCCCCTTCAGACCTCTGTCAGGCTTGGGCAGTGCTGAGGAACTGCCAGCTGGCTTTATTAACTGCTCCAAAAATGCTTTGGGTTGAACATATGCATCCAAAGTTTCGGATGCTGTTCCTTGATCTGCAGGAAATACAGGTTAAACCCTTTGTCTTTCCCTGGTATTTATTAAATACTTTCCTAGAGTTCTGTCTGTTTTCTGTGCTGACTTCTTGTCTTCTTGCTGCACAAATCTGGTTCCTGAGATCGTGGCTGTACATTCCCCAGCAGCAGCACACACCATCCTGCTTTACCTTTTAGTTATTTATTTTCCATTCATAGTGGCTGCAGAGGGAGAGGCTGAGCTTTCACTTTCAGCCTAAAACCAAAAGTGAACTTCTTTGTTCAAAAAGCAGAACCAAAAATGAACTGCTTGATGCTGAAAACGTTTCTTCCTTGGGAGGAAGCCCTGGGCAGTGGAGTGGAGAGGACATTTTGCTACTCTTGCATCCAGGATCAAATACCCTCAGTTACCTTGGCTCTGCTCCCTCCCCTCCAGATGTTGGGCCCCAGCACAGGTGGGAGGGAGGGGGCTCACAGGAGGTTTTTTTGTGGTGCAGTGAAGTTCCACGTGCTGCCTGCAGCTCCACAGTGATCTGAGATGGGCAGGAGTGGGTCTGAACCCCTTTGGCCTTGGTTTGCCTTCACAGGGAGTTCCATAAAAGTCACTGGATTCCTCTAAAGCTGGTGTGGAAATTGTAGTGGGACAAGAAAAAGGATGATTTTCTTTGAATTGGAGTGTGTGCCAGCTTTGTGGGTGAGAGGCTTGGAGCTGCTTTAATTCCACGAGAAAGTGAATTAGTTTGAAGTAGCTAATGGTGGTGGATTTAAAATCCATATTTTAGTGTAGCTGGCTCAGAGATTCCCAGTTTGGAAGAACTAATGTATATTTCAATAATTTACATTTAATATTTCTTTATATTCTCTTTTTAGCTCTTGTTTAGAAAGCTGAATTTTTATCAGATTAGTAGGTGTGATATTTAATTGAAGTGTGTCAGGTAATGATGGTTTCCATTGTGTGTAGGGGAAAAAAAAAAAAGCATTATTGTAATAAAGCTTTTTGGATCCAGCTTTAGGTGAAAAGGTTATTATTTGTAAGGTTGTCAGATCTCTTCCAGAGATCCTCGTGTTTTTCATCTATGTAGGAGAATTTGTAGCTGTGTCATGGTTTAACTAGTACTCCCTAGGTGATGTTTTGCATGAAGATAAGTTTATCTCTGAAAATAGTGCAGAAATCTGCAGTAAAACCTAGTTCTCTCTCATGTCACGTGTGAGACAGTTCTGTGCTACAGTTGTCTTATAGATTCACAATTCCATCCCTGTGGGTGGGCTGTTCAAATCCTTTATATCCAGTGAAACACCTGTATTGCCCAGAAGTGGATGTACTTAATTGGGAGTCTAAAGACATAGTTTAGCTAATAGGGGTTTAATTGCTTTTCCCATGACTTACATGAGATGTAGGTGCTACTCAGAGAAATACTTGAGGTGTATTTGTGTGAGAAGTCAGGACACTCAGAATTTAACAGAACAGACTGGGTCAAGGGGATTCACTCACACAGGATGTGTTTCCCACAGTGGCTCACACCTGATTTTTAACCCCAGGTGTCCTCTGAGAGCAGATGTTTGGTCTGCTCTTCAAATTGAATCCATATTCTGACAAATGTGAGGAAAACTTCCCCACTGCTCTGTATAGACCTCGAGCTTGGTTTTGACACCCCTTCCCTTTAGTGGGGAATCCTCATATCAAGGAGGAGACAGGAAACTGAGACCTGGTTCTGCAAGTAAATCATCCTTCCCTGGGCATGCCTGTTGGTTTTTGTTCCTCACCAGCATCCATGGGGCAGTGGCAGCAGTGGGTGGGAGTTCCCATCATCGTTATCAGGTGACAGAGACCAGAGTCCCGTGTTCTTTCTGTGACTCAGTACACGTTTGTCAAGCAATCTGTGTCTTGGTGTGACTCTGGTTGGGTTAATATTTGTTTATGGTGACCAGCTGGGCCAAACCTGGTGAGAAGGGTTGCCTCAAAACACTGATGGGGTGTTGATAAGCTTTAGTAGGGAAGAAGGAAGCTGAGGCTTTGGACTTGATGTCCATCTTCTGTAACCCAGTTGGTGACACGCTGTCCTCACAGGCAGAAGTGGCACCCCAGAAGCAGATCTGGTGGTTGCTGATGTGCTGTTGCCAGGATGTCAGGACAGTCTGGGGAGCTGTGTGCATTGTGGTGGGTGCAGGGTCATTTACACCCTTGGGTTGGGGAGGGAAAAGAGGTTTTAAACTGTTTGGTCTGTTGTGGCTGACTTGAAACACAGTGGGTGTCTCTTATTGCCTGTGAACCATCCCAGACTGCTGCCTCTCTGTGTCCACAGCTGTCTCCTAATGCTACTAAAAATAGCAACATTACAGAATTAAACAATTTAAAAATATTTTCTTAGAAGCTTTTATCTAGTGCATAAAAAAAAAAAAACCCAAATCCACACCTCTTCTCCAGAGCAGCTCAAGTGTTTGACCTGATTGTTTTG